AAGGGGGGATCGAAATGCTGGATTTCATCGATATGAATTACACATTTAAAATCAAATGGATTCAAGAGGCATTAAAAAACCTGAAATCAATATGGTACCTCATCCCCAACCTAGTATTTAATAAAATAGGCGGTCTTCATTTTATCTTAAAATGCAATTACAATATCAATAAACTTCCAATAAAACTCTCTAATTTTCATCAACAAGCCCTTACAGCGTGGAAGCTCTGTCACATCCACAACTTCTCCCCACACACCTGCATTATCTGGAATAATGAATACATATTAAAGCGCAAGAAATCAATCTTTGAATCATCATGGATCGATAAAGGTATAATTACAGTTTCCAATTTAATCGATATTCATGGCAATATTTTAAGTTATGATAACTTTCTTGCTAAGTTCCAGTTTCCCATCAGGTACAAACAGTTCAAAGCTGTTACAAAATGCATTCCCGATGGACTATTACACTTAATGAGAGCTTCACAACTCACTCCAACCATAATGACCACAAAGCTTTTCCTCAATGGACTGGACATCACTAATCACAAATGCAACAATAAACATATTCGACAAATATTTCAAAATATGAAAAGCATTCAACCCAGAGGGAAATTTTTTTGGAACTCCACCTTTGATAATATAAACTGGCAGAAAACATGGCTGTTACCCAGCCAATTCCCCATTAATAATAAAATACGTGAAACGCATCTTAAAATCCTACACAATATCTACCCCACAAACTCCGAAGTCTCAAAATTCATGAACATAGATCCAAATTGCTCCTTTTGCAAAACAGTTCCAGAACTTATTCAACACTTATTCTACTCATGCCCACTCATCACACTTTTCTGGAAAGAGATCAGTCAATACCTCTCCCAAACACTAAATACCTCCATAACTATCTGTGACAGAAACATTATCACCCACTTTTCTCACCAAAACAATAAAATCGAAAGAATCACCAACATATTCATTTTATTTGGCAAACAGCACATACATAGATGCAAATACAGTAAAACCAATCCATCCTCCCAAGCAGTCACTCTCGAAATCAAGAGCTACATTAAGTCTATAACCCTAATAAATAGCAAAAAAACCAACTCCACAGTCAAATTATTAGAACCCATAACACATCAACTCTAGACGACCGTCTCCCTTTAGCGCCCTTTCTTTCAATCTAACCTCTCTATAAAGTCATTTAACTTTATATAATACCTCACTTCCCTTCACTGTATCATGGATGTCATCCATTTCTGTATATATTGTAAATATCTTTGTTTCTGTTTTTGTCATGTACTGTACATACGAACAATAAAAAAAAAAAAAAAAAAAAAAAAAAAAGATTCTCTTAACTTCTGGAACATAGTCTTCCAGGATCTTGACTGTATTGTCAGAAGTGCTGCCGTGTCTCCCTGTGTCACTTTCTGTTTCAGTTCCGCCACAGTGAAAGTGTATCCAAACAAAGCCTACTTTTAACGCTTTAAACAAGTCTCACCACAGCTGTGAGATGGATGGTAAACTCAATGGGAGAAGTCAGAAGAGGAACATGAGCCCTCCAGAGTACAGGGACCTCGGATACAGGGACCTCGGATCCAGCATATTTTCTCCTTTTAAAATGTAAGTGTCAACCATAAGACGTACAATATAAATACATCAATGACATGTCTTAAGATGCAGCTAATGACAATGCAGGTGTGCGTTATTACTGTGGTATAATGTGTATGGATTAATGTCGTGACGTTTGATCAGTTTAGCCTAGCATTAGTCTAGCATAAGTAAGTAAGTAAGTCTAGCATAAGTAAGTAGCTAGCTAAGTAAAGGGCTCGCATCGCCTCCATTCATTTTCAATGGGACGTGCGCGACATTCTCGAGGTCGGACATCCGGGAACTTGGACTCCCATAATGCACTGCGCGCGCATAGCAACGCGGCGAAGGGTAAAACAAACCAGCGCCCGCCATTAAGCAACACGAAGCGAAAGACAAACGAGCGTTACAAAACATGCCGAAAAACTGTTGTATTGTTGGTTGTACCAACAACAGCGTAAAAAGGAGTGACCTATCCTTTTACATGATCCCTAGCGAGGCAACTGAGCCAGAAAGGAGAGAGAAATGGCTCCAGCTGGCTTGGAGCTACTCAGTGGGAATCTTTAGATTTTGTCACTTTGCTCCTTGAACAGGAAAGAAGAACAACAACCCCGCATACCCAGATTACACTCCGTCCATTTTCCCGCAAGCAGTGCTGAAGGAATTGACTAAGAGTACCACACTTGATCGCTTCAAGAGAGCACAGAAAAGAAAAAATAAGTTTGCTACCCACAGTACCCTATCGTTAACAGAAAAAAAACCATCAAACTGTAGTGTGATCAACATGCATCTAGTTTGCTCCTAGATCAATGACCAAAAATTATCTGAATTTGTTTGACACAACACTTGAAATTTAAAACTAACAAATTGCAGTCGATTTTGTTTATGCAGACATATATATAGTAGCAAATTGTGTTTATTGCTCTTATTTTACACTGCAGTAAAACCGTACCTGCAGATAATGAGCTGCATTTCCAATGCACAGTTAAGAATTAAAAGATTCCATATTGCAATGAGGTTGTGTACAACAATTGATACAAGCACCTTGTGAAATAGAATGTTGTCCCCCATATGAAATACATAAATAAAAAATACATGTTGATTTCTAATGACCAATTTGAAAAAGTAGTACTTGGGAGGTTAACTGCTACAAAAATGGTAATCTGTGTAAAAATACAGATTTTGCTAACAAATGTATTTTCCTTGAAAACAAAATTACCTCCTGTATGAAAAAGTCATTGCATCTACAAAGTAACTAGTCATGCAGATTTTTGTACATAATGCCTAGCCTGGAAATTCTTGGTAAGATGGTATTTATAGTACAAAACTAGTCTACTGGTCGCTGCTTTCTAGTCATAGTCGACTATTATGACTTATCGTCCCAATCCAACTCAATACTAAATATACTGCCGTTTAGTAACACCAGGAAGCCGAGTGAGTGAGTGGTTGGTGGTGGTCGGAGGGGCCGATGGCGCAGACTGGTCGCCTCGCTTCAGTCAGTCTACCCCAGGGCAGCTGTGGCTATAATAGTTGCTTACCACCACCAAGTATGGAGTGAATGAATAGTGCAATGTTAAGCGTCTTTGAGTGTCCAGAAAAGCACTACATAAAACTGATGCATTATTATTATTATTATAAATATGAGGCCATGACTTAAAATTTCTGTGATCATTTGCAAAATATATACCTTTTATCTATTTTTTTCAGCACCATCCACTACTCTAGTATCACGAAAGGAAAGGAAGGTGAAGAAGCAACTGGAATTTGAGGAGACAAGTGTCCCAGAAGAGTTGCAACAAGAAGTGTCAACACCCTGCATGGAAATGCAAGACCTGCAGCAGACGGAATTAGGCATTGACAAAATCAGCAATGATTCGGTCTCCACCATCATAATACTAAATACACCTGAAACAAAAGAAAATGAAGAAAGGGAAATAATTTTATTTTTATACATTAACATATCACATCTAGGAGAGTGACAATTGACCAGAGCAAAAACACTGACAAATTGCAAGTAAATGATACAAATGTTTTCATGTCAATCTTCACGTCTTTTAGTATTTCTACTTATACAATGTCTAATAAACTATTTCTCATTAGAAATGTTAAAGTCTTGCTGTTGTCGTTAGACACTACATATATAATATAATAAAATGTAATCTGATGACTGGTTATTGCAAAAAATAACCGGTCATAAAAAGTGTGAATAGAGGGTATGCCATTTTACTTTAAAATTTAAATAGAAATGTAATCTCAAATGAATGGACACATTGAGGGGCAAATCAAAGAATAACAAAATAATACCAATGCCATGCCACTGTTTTCTGTTGCTATGTTATGACATCGCTATGCATAATGGTCGGCAGCTCTACACCGATAAGCAACAATGAAATGCACTAGTTGTGTGGGGAATAAGTGGAATTTCTGCAGTTAGCCTTTTTTGGCTTTTGAAAAAAACTGTGTCCCTCACTTACACTGTACAAGCTGTGCCACTGACAGACTGAGCTCATTACAGCCACATTGTAACAGAATGCTTTTGAATGTCATAACATAGTTAATGTTATCGATGCTTGATGGGTATTTAAATATTACTACAAGTGTAGGACACATGGTATGTACACATGGTGTTCATACCAGGGGACTTGATGAGGTAATTGTATATGTCTGGATACTCGAGCCTGGGCCATGCCTTTGGGTTGTTTTCCCAGGACTCTGCTGGATGCCGATAGGGACAAGATTGTAAACCTACAAGCGACAGCTTTCTGTGGTACCTTAGCCTGGCCTTTGCCATCCGTAAACTCCGGTCAAATCTTTTTTTCCCGGGATGTACCCTCTGTACGAAACAAGTACGAGGGTATGGTAAAACCAGGCTAGTGGTACCTGGTCAATGCAGGCGCTAGGAGACTGTCAATATACTGATATGACATGCTGCAATAGAAGAAGAAGATCTGTATTCATATAGTGCCTTTCACAGACATGTAGCTAGTCACAAAGCGCTTTACATGAGTGTTTAATCTCACATGTATGGAGTGAATGTAAACTAAAACTGGCGATTATAAGTGTAAAACTACAACTGAAAAAGGTGGTCCTGTTGTGGCTTAAGGTGCAAGAACAAGAGGAATGACATTTGCGTTAATAAAATAAGGTTTATCTGATATTTCCAACAACAGTTAGACATTTCTTTATTGTTACTATGACAACAGCTACAATGGAAATAGATAGGAATTTAGATTCCTGCCTCCAGCTAAGCAAGCCCTGAATGTTTACACCACCAACATACATTCGCATACACAGATATCATTCATCAATAATTCAAAGTTGTCCGTTAGTATCCATAACTGACATAATCCACGGCAAAACATATGTAAATAGATACCTTTTGGATTCGCCTTCGGTTTGTTTTACCCTTCAAACATGGCGGCGGTTGGTTGCTACGCAGGTCACATGATTCGTGACGTAACGCCGACCTCGAGAATTAGCCAATGTTTATGAATGATCAGTTTTCTATCTGTACATTAGCTCCATCTCCACTTCACATTCATTGCAGCTTCACATTTGGCCTTTTTTCTTTTTGCTGTGCTGTCAAAAATAACATTATGTAGTTGGGTCACCTATTCATTTACTACTAACTAATATAATGATTGTCCGTTTTCTGTTTATATTTGAACATTTGTTAAATGTTATTTTATATGTTCCTCCTTTATCTCTCAAATAAAGTGACAACAATAAAGTTAATCTTATCTTAACAAGCCACAATGAAAGACATACACCCCAACTTCAGACATTTTCTTTAAGGGTGAGAAAATCGACACCGTGTCTGATTTTAAATATCTTGGTGTTACACTGGATTCTAACTCGAATTTTAAAATACATATTAAGAACATGATAAAGAAAATTAGGTATAATGTAATCAACTTCAGACATATTAGATCTTGTCTCTCTTTGGAGGCAGCCTGGATATTCATGCACGCTCTTATTTTTTCCCACTTGTCTTACTGCATCACCTGTTGGGGACAGGCTGGAGAAACCGCAATTAGACCGTTAGAGTCCGTGTACAAGCAAGCCCTAAAGATTTTTGATAAAAAGCCATTTAACCATCATCATTGTAGCATCTTGACAAAATACAATTTCTTGAGTTTTGAAAATTTTAGAACTTTCTCATATCTATGTTTGGTCTTTAAGATCCTGAAGGGCTTGGCTCCTGGCTGTTTACAAACCTTTGTGCGACAGCGCTCTGGGAGTTCTTTAAGATCTACTCGAGCAGCTTCTCTACATGATTGCATTGTACCTTTCCGTCATTCCACCTTTGGTCAATCAGCGTTTGCAGTGAAGGCTGCTAAACTGTGGAACCAACTACCTGACAATATAAAGACATGCACGACCATCAAGGGCTTTAAAACTGAACTCAAAAAGCATCTAAAAAGTAGCCAGCATTGTACACACTAGCCATGCCAGCCCTCTTTGGTTTTTACACTCCCTCTGGTACTGACTTATTTGTCTGTATTTGTGTTGTTGATGTGTCTTGTCTGGGTTTTATGAATCTGTAATGTTGTATGTGGTTTGTCTTTCCTGGTCGACCCCTTGTCTTGTGAATCTTGTCTTTTTTCTGTTATGGGTCGTCCGTTCCCTGCCAGGGACTGCAGATGTAAATTAGCCTCAGGCTAACTCTGGTGCAATGCATCAAATGGCAACATTTATGTTATAATTGTACATGGTCCCTTTTAAATAAATAAACTAAAAAAAAAAATTAAAAAAAAAAGGCTCGGCAGCGCACTACAGGTTAGCATTAGCTACAAGTTAGCTTGAATACATATTCAAGTTAACCATCTGTCAAATCAGACAAAAGGTTTTATCACAACTGCATAGCTATTTACACAGCTTCAGTTGGTCTTTGGGAAACCTAAAAAATGAGCATGCTTCATGTAAACTTTGATGATAACAGCCGAAAACAAAGCAGAGCATTTTGCACCATTCATGCTCTTTGTTTTCGGTCGGTGATTGGTTAAGTTTAGGCGTCTGATTAAGATGATTAAGTTTAGGGTTAAGGCTGGGTTGGGGTTATTTTATGGGAATGGCTCGTTAAGTTTAGGCATGAATAGGTAGTTTGTTATATTTACTTCCGCTTCCGTCCAGATTCCGTGACGTAATCTACGGCTGCGTTAGCTCATTGGATCAAACTGAACTTCCGGACGAATCCGGTTTCCGGGACGAATACGGGAGTGACAACAAAACTGACCATGCTGCTGAAAATACCAACCCAAATAAAGGAGCAGTTCCTGATGTTAGCCCTCCCATAAAGCAGGTGAATATTCAGTTTATCGATATCTATCTCTATCTTATGCAGATGTTTTATTTGACCTGTATTTGTGCCCATAGGTTGTGAGTCCTGATGTGAAGCCCAAAATAAAGTGAGTTGTTGCTACTGGGAATTGATAAAACACACTGCAATTAAAAGGTAAATATTAAAAGTATTCATTCATGTGTTTGCTTTTAGGCTAGCAGCAAGTTTTCACAATCCTCGTAGAAATCAAAGTCTAGAGGTACACTGGTCATGACTATTATGTTATGCTTGTTTGTATTATTTTATATTATTTTTATATTTTGTTCACAAGGTTTCAAGGCTAGATTTAGCTATAAAGAAAGACATTACACCAGTTGAGGGAACACCACAACAACCAGGAAACTCAAGGTAATTAAAATACCTTTATACATGTTTAGTTTTATGTCACATTGTATTTTTTATATTATGTATATTTTACTTTTTGTTCTCAGATTTTCGTCAGATTATGACTGCATTAAGAAGATTGGCAGTGGAGGCTTTGGAATGGTCTTCCAAGCAAGACGAAAACTGCTTGATAAATATTTTGCCGTAAAGATCATTCGCTGCAAAGTGTACGTTTAATGTTTATGGGTATTTGAATATTTGTGTGAGTGGTATTTAATTAAATTTGTCAACTTGTATTTTAGGAAAGCTCTGAGAGAAGTCAAGGCTTTGTCAGATCTGAACCACGTGAATATCGTGAGGTACCACACTTCTTGGACGGAGAAAACAACGTACCAGGACTTCTCCACTGACAGCGGCAGCTCCACTCAGTAAGTCTGCGTTTCAATCTGTGGTTTGGGCACCAGAGATCCAATCCTGTTCTGACAACCTCTGATGAATGAATTGGTAAGTCTCAAGACCATAGTATTGAGATCCTTGAAGTTATTGTTATCAGCTGTGACAGTATTCAGCCATTTTAACAAGTTTTAAATCATCTCCTGCATAAGATGTTATAATACATAGATATATTATTATTTATTGACATAAGTTGAGAAACATGTCTGTGTTTTCTTTTTTCACCAGATCCACCGGTGACCCTCCTGAAATGTTCCTTTACATTGAGATGGAATTATGTGACACTAACCTTCGAGTCTGGATCGATGAGAAAAACACTCAAAATGTGAAGAAATCCCGTCGTGACATACGGAGACGAGAGGAGAGCCTGAAGATCGCTCAGCAGCTGATCTCTGGAGTGGAGTACATTCACTCTCAGACGCTGATCCACAGAGACCTGAAGGTGACACTAATATGACAGTGGAAGACGTGTCCCAGACCTGTATTCTGTGGAGTTACTAGAAAATAATAACTTATAGTTTAAAACACTAAGGCTGTCCCATCGCTTTGGAGTGATGTCAATCCAAGTTTAATAATTTCTACGAGATTTATTAACAATGAGAGAACAAAGCATAATACTTTGATTTGAACAAGTATAATACATGTATTTTTACTTATGCATTACTGGTGTGCAGTAGTCGTGCTTCACAGCAACAAGGGTTGCATTGCTGTGAACGCATCATCTATCTTTACCCAATTCTGTGTTCTTCTCAAATACCTAGACCTCGAGTATTGCCAAAAGTATGGCCAAAACAATCAAATCTCAAATGTCATTGCTTTGTCCAAAATGGGCTAAGTAAACATGTTTCCAATTTTCATGAGTGGATCTATGGACAGGTCAAATGTGCAGTTCATTTCAAGACAGCCCTGGTGTTTGCCTCCAGTTTATATAAAGAAGAATGGACAGCTTTACCATCAGAGAGAAAACCATATAAAACAGATAAAATCATGGACTAAGTTTATTTACATAAAGTACAAACTATTGGGACAAAGCTGAATATGATACTGTTACTACATCTACACAGTTACAGTTGTACATTCAATAAACACACTCATTTATATCCTTTTTTTAGCCGGATAACATCTTGTTTGGCCGCGATGAAAAGGTGAAGATTGGGGACTTTGGATTGGTCACTAGCGACAGCACTGACGGTGAGGTAGTGGAGAAGACAGGGGCAAAAGGAACAAAGAGCTACATGGCCCCTGAACAAGTGAGGAAATATAACCGCCTTGTGTGAAGTGATAAAATTGCTCAGGGATTTAGATTTTGTTTTTTTTTCTTTTTCTTTTTACAGTTTGGTACAAAATATGACCGCAAAGTGGACATTTTTGCATTGGGATTGATCTTTTTTGAGCTCTTCTGGAGAATATCCACTTATCATGAACTTCGGGAGGTATGTGGTTCACAAAGCACTTTTTTCATCATTTATTATTACATTTAGTCTCTGTCATGGCTCTGTACCCTCTGTTTTGTGCAGATCTGGAATAATGTCAGGAATCAGGACTTTCCAAAAGATTTTACAGAGATTTATGCAGTGGAGGTACGGAATATATACCATTAGGTTGTTGGCGTTGTCATGGACCTTTCTTATCATTCTCATTCACTTCTTTTAACCTTTGTCATTTCCAGAGCCGCATTATTAAAACTATGCTGAGTAAGAAGCCTGAAGACAGACCTGAAGCCAGTGCACTCAAATCTGAATTAGAGAAATGGACTCAAAAGGAAGAAATCCAACAAAAAACCATCTAATAATTAGTTTTTCCCTTTACATGATCTAATGATTTTGTCATTTTTTCGTCATGATATAATGTCATGTCAATGAAAATCATTTTTAACTGAAATCATGTGCTATGGCAATATTGAGTGCACACTCGGTTTGTCACTTTTTTTAAGGATAAATTCCTTGGTAAAATGATAAATGTGTGGACATTCATTTCATATTGAGGAGTTTATGGAATCATGCAAACCCTGTGATAAAATACTACTGCAGCCAGTTGTCCTGGGGCACACTGACAGAAGGTAAGCAATAAGAATGTGGGTGAAGAGTAAGGACACAACAACAGTTTGGCACTTTCAGTGTGACCACGGTATATTGTTGAAGTCTGTTCAGTGATCAGTAGAGGGAGCTGTGACTCTTCTCATTTGCCTCTGTTTCCCAAAGTTTCAGATCTATGTATAATTTCACTTGACATATAAACCACATGGACAATGCAGTTATGTTCATGTATACTCTCTATACTGAATATCTGCAGCAGTATATTGTTTCATTAAAAATCAATTAATAAACCTTTGTTAATAGAGCCCTTACCAAAGTGCTTAACAGTCATATCAAGGCCCCAAAAACATATGCATAAAATCCATAAAATAAACACTCAGTAACTAATAAAAAAGCCTCTGCACTACTGTGTTTTACAAGTTTTTCCTTTAGATTTAAAAAGGCAGAAGTCTGTGATGGTGCCGTGATCAGAAGGCAGCTTCTTCCAGAGTCTGGGGCCAGGGAGAAAAAGACAGATTGCCTCGAAATGAACATTCCAAAATACAATAGAAAAGGTTGAATTGTTTTCTAAAATTAATAACGTGCTGAAACTTGATTGACAAATTGTGCTGTGTCTATATGTCTTAATAAAGGTATTAATAGTTTTTTACATGTATCTATTACAATATCTAAATTAATTTATTCATTGTTGTTAGCCATGCTTCTAATATAATGAATCCTTTGTGGTAGATAATATTTTATTCAAACATCTTTACTTTATGCCACCTCAGCTAAACCATGATTTCCAAAGCATTTGTTTTGATTCTTCCATATGAGAAACAGGTCTGCTTTTCTGATCTTGTGTTTGACTGTAGTGAGCTTTGGATTTTAACTATTTACCTTCTGTTGGAATGGATGTTATTGTTAATGCTGTGGCGCCACCTACATGTGAAAGAGTTTACTGTAATAGTTTATTCCAATGAGACAGACCCTGATCGCGTTAGACCTTTGAGGCTAAGTAGGGCATGGCCTGGTTAGTACTGTGATGGGAGACCACAGTGGGGCAGCTGCGGCTCGACCCCACCTTCATGTCTCTCTTTTGTGTTGCATCTTTGAACACAATTGCAGATCAGCTTCATTCTGCTGACAACAACAAACATTTCAATGACATTCTATTTATTATATTGATTATTCCTATTTGTTTTGAGTGCAACTTTTGCATATAACTAGTTATAACTGCAACTCAAAGTGCTGAACAAAATAAGATAGCATTAAAATAACTCAAGTATTGTCTGTTATGTTCTTACAGCAGTTCAGTTTACACTTCCCTTACATTGCCTTTTACAAAATGAAGTCAGCTATAAGAAAGTTGTTTTGTGTCTGTCACAGTTTAATAGCAACTGTATAAAATCAAGCCCGGGCCATACAACACAACTCACAAAATAGGAAAAAAATGAACAGTTTTATTTTGTACAAGTTGAAGGAAAAAGATAAGTCAGTTATAAAATGTATCTAAAAAGAAAGGAAAGGTCCGATGCCGATAGCCATGCTAAAAGTCCCGTCACCTCCACCAGTCCAGGGAGCTGCGGGGAGAGGGCTAAAATTGGTGTATGCACAAATAGTTAAAATCAGCAAGTTCTGCGATGCAGAAGCCCACGTGCAGACGTCCCTTCACTTAGCCGTTTTTCAGGCGTATCAGCCGGCTCCACTGCACGGCTCCACTGCACAGCGCTCTGTCAACCTTTTGTTCCCCGCTGGTGCTGGGGGGTCTGGTGTCAGTCTAATCCAGTGTCCACGGTCCACACGCGCACCGGTGACACTGACCCTGCTTCCTGGCCCTGCCTCTTAACAATCATTCCGTCACACCACACCACTGGGGAAAGTTTCTGATTGGTTAAAAATGCGGAGCAGTCCATTTGTGCAGGGGTGCACTCAAAATGTTGATAAAAACAAAACATGCACTAAACACATGCAACATGCAAAAGACAATGTAAACAAAACATGCAATGATCTAAAACTGCATCTACCCTGCACTCACATCCTGACATTCCTCCCCAGTTTTTAGGTAGTCGTCCCCGACTATCTTATCTATTCCCTGTACCTATCAGGTGGGTTACCCAAGTTGCTACGCTGTGAACGTCTCAGCACTGCTACTTCTTGGGGGGGCCCTGGTACTGGTGGGTCTGGTATCTGCTCAATTGCGGATATTTTGCGACTTACCTTCCAATAACTTCCATGTTCTTTTGTACAGATGAAGATGACCTCAGTTCAAATTGTCCAGGAGATACAGCTGCTGACCATGAATAAAAATATGTTGTATGTGAAGCGTGTAAAATTTGCATCCCTTACATTTGATGCAATTTTATGTTAAAGGTCTTTTTATTATGCTCTTTTATGTTTTTCCTTTTCCCATGGAAAATACATCATTGTAGATTCACTCATTTGGTTATAAAATAGAAGCCTGATTGTGTGTCTCTTCAGCATCCGACTTTTGTAAATATCTTAAGCTATGCTGTTTTTGTGTGTCTTTAGTAGTGTTATTATATACATTGGGAAGTTGGAGGTAAACAATTTAATAATGTTTAGAACACATTATATGTTTTTGTATTTTTTTTTTAAATAAAGTGTCATCGTATCCTATGGTTTATGATTTTTGACTACATCTCCCACAATGCTTTGGACTGATAGTCTCCAAAAGGCAAAAACGCAATACATTAAAATATGAATTAAAATAGGTGTCTTGATTGCTTGCGTTCTTGTATTGGATGTAACACTTTATTTAGATTTTGCATTTGTTTTTTGTACCTTCTCCCCTCCCTTTGACGCTGTGGTGATTACGTATGCGTATTGAAACTCAAGACAGAAAGCAGAATCGAAACTTACGTTTAGTGAAGAAGGAAAAGCTTTATGCCCGGTTTAATGATATGCTAGATTAATTTTGATGTGTAATTATTTTAATAGCAAACTAGTTAATCATGGATGCAACAAACTATGTCGCAAAATTATATGAGTTATCACAAAAAATGCGTCTGGCGCTGAAGTTGGAAGATGTTGCTTCTGTGGGACCAGATCACATTAAAACGTAAGTTTCAGATAGAATTGAAATGTTTTGTGATCAGACTGTGATCTATGGCGGGGCAGTAAGTCGCTATTTGAACCTGATGTCGACATGACATCTTGTACCAGGCACGCCTTAAGTGTACAATCGGGTTTGATATTTTACAAAACTTAATAGTTCAGTAATAACATAATTAACCAGTCCGCTGCCTTTGCCTATTATTCTAGATCCATACTTTGCCACTATCCCAAGGAAAAAGACTAACGTGGGGCTACAACAATGACATACTGTCATTTTTATATGATTTTCCTTCGTTTTATCCAGGTTTACTGTAAGGGTAGTCGTGGATGGCAAGGCCTATCCCGAAGGTGTGGGGAAGAACAAGAAAGAAGCCAGACAAATGGCTGCTAAGTATGCCCTGGAAGGTGTATTCAATGACCTGGCATCGGAATCAGTAAATATTTGTCAATATATCTGACTATAGTTATTTAAATATATCTGAGTATTTATTTGTCTTTGATATCCTTTTGCATCTGCTTTTACTCGTTTAACAGACAGAGACAGCCTCTCTCAAACCACCGCCTTCACCAATGCAATCAACAGGTATCCCCCAGGCTAATTACATGTGCTGGTTGAATCAATATGGACAGAGAAACAATGTCTTCATCAAAGCAGTGGAGTCCACTAAACTAGAACCATCTAATTCACCTCAGTAAGGAATTACATTTAAATCAAACGCTGAAATCTTGTTTTGATTGTATTTTTGCTCCTTAGATGCTGTAAATTTGTGGTAGGAGATAAGGAGTACCCAGAAGCTTACGGAACAACAAAAAAACAAGCCAGAGAAGAGGCAGCTAAGCTTGTTCACAGTGAAATAGTTGGCAGCGAATCTTCTCAAGTATTAAAGATATTTATTCTGCCAAAGTTGTGTTAAGATATATGCAGTTTTACATGTTTCTAAAATTAATCTTGGCTTGTGTTTGAGGCTGATGATAGCGCTCTCAATCAGGCGAACAATCAAAGCAAAATCAAGTGAGCACTGAAATTATTTATAATTGTATATTGTGTGGTCTAAGCACTGTGTTTCCCATATTTACATATGTTTTTTTTGTTTTTGTTAGTGAAAGCATTTCCAGACTCACTATCACCACTGAAGACGAGGGGTTTGCTGATACTAATTTCATCGGGATTCTCAACCACTACTGCCAGAAGAAAAGTATCTACCACGATTATAAGTTGGAGAATCGATGTGGTCCTGCCCATAACCCTCAGTCAGTTCCATTGTTGCTATGTTTTAAAATCATCCATCAGTTTAGTATCTAAGACTGTAGTTTTTCCTCCCTGCAGATTTTTTTACAGGGTCATCATTGATGGAAAGGAGTATCCTGTGGCTGAAGGAAAGAGCAGTAAAGAAGCAAAGCAGAAAGCAGCTCAATTGGCCTGGTCCAGTCTGCAGGAGCAGTCAGACTGGGACAGCAAGGTATTCTCCTGAAAAGTCCTGCTTCTGTTTACACACGTTATAGCTCTGCCAAAAATTCAAACAGTTGCAATCTGAAGTTTGGTAGATCTTGATTATCGACACCTGAAAACTGGTTCTTTCGATTTAAGATGCAGGTTCTCAATCACTTACTCATTTGGCCTGAACTTTCACAGTGACTACAGTAAATTTAAAGGTGGAGTAAGCGATTTTGTTAGCTTAGCCATAGCACCAACTCGAAACCACTCCGCCCTCGCCTCTCCACCAAACCAAACATCCAGCATTTTCTTTTCTTTGTCAAAACAGGGAGAGTGGGTGGCAAACGTGAAATTGACATTTTCTGTTCAGCTATTTATGGTTTGAAAAAATCCGATATCTCAGGTGTGTGCACTCGCAAGAAACAGGAAGAGGGTGAAGCGGGTAAACGCATCCCATTGGTTCGTTGGGGATGAACAAATCCCATTGGTTAATTTTCATTGGCCCGCTCCAAAATATGTAGTTTTAATTCTTGGAGACTATAGGCATCTGATCAATTCCATTACTATTTGAAAACACATGATCCCTTGACTACTTTTAGGGTTTAGGGACGTTTCCCACAATATCTAAAAAAAAAACCCATCTTTAAGTTGGTCGAAATATAAATTATTACTATAAATTAAAATTGAGATTTCAATATGAGGGGAAATGTGGTTTCTTTTTTCCCATATCGTCCAGCCCTAACACTAAACCTTAAACCTGCCTTGACAATTTGTATTCAATTAATTTGTTGACATTTAAATTGACTTAGACCTATTTTTTATAATTAGTATTTACTAATTTTCTCATTAGGTCTCTGTTCGATCCTCTGAAGACTTGACTCCTCATGTTTCAAAGTAAATCAAACAAATCTGTATGATAAAAAAAAAAAAAACATAAACAGACATGAGATTTGCTTATTGACTTTTTGTTTACAGTGTTGCTGATGAAAATGCCAACCCAAATAAAGGAGCAGTTCCTGATGTTAGCCCTCCCATAAAGCAGGTGAATATTCAGTTTATCGATATCTATCTCTATCTTATGTAGATGTTTTATTTGACCTGTATTTGTGCCCATAGGTTGTGAGTCCTGATGTGAAGCCCAAAATAAAGTGAGTTGTTGCTACTGGGGATTGATAAAACACACTGCAATCAAAAGGCAAATGTTAAAAGTATTCATTCATGTGTTTGCTTTTAGGCTAGCAGCAAGTTTTCACAATCCTCGTAGAAATCAAAGTCTAGAGGTACACTGGTCATGACTATTATGTTATGCTTGTTTGTATTATTTTATATTATTTTAATATTTTGTTCACAAGGTTTCAAGGCCAGATTTAGCTGTAAAGAAAGACATTACACCAGTTGAGGGAACACCACAACAACCAGGAAACTCAAGGTAATTAAAATACCTTTATACATGTTTAGTTTTATGTCACATTGTATTTTTTATATTATGTATATTTTACTTTTTGTTCTCAGATTTTCGTCAGATTATGACTGCATTGAGACTATTGGCAGTGGAGCCTTTGGACTGGTTTTCAAAGCAAGACAAAAACTGCTTGAGAAATATTTTGCCGTAAAGATCATTCGCTGCAAAGTGTACGTTTAATGTTTATGGGTATTTGAATATTTGTGTGAGTGGTATTTAGTTAAATTTGTCAACTTGTATTTTAGGAAAGCTCTGAGAGAAGTCAAGGCTTTGTCGGATCTGAACCACGTGAATATCGTGAGGTACTACACTTGTTGGATGGAGGACACAACGTACCAGGACTTCTCCACTGACAGCGGCAGCTCCACTCAGTAAGTCTGCGTTTCAATCTGTGGTTTGGGCACCAGAGATCCAATCCTGTTCTGACAACCTCTGATGAATGAATTGGTAAGTCTCAAGACCATAGTATTGAGATCCTTGAAGTTATTGTTATCAGCTGTGACAGTATTCAGCCATTTTAACAAGTTTTAAATCATCTCCTGCATAAGATGTTATAATACATAATAGATATATTATTATTTATTGACATAAGTTGAGAAACATGTCTGTGTTTTCTTTTTTCACCAGATCCACCGGAGACCCTCCTGAAAAGTTCCTTTACATTGAGATGGAATTATGTGACACTAAAACCCTTCGAGTCTGGATCGATGAGAAAAACACTCAAAATGTGAAGAAATCCCGTCGTGACATACGGAGACGAGAGGAGAGCCTGAAGATCGCTCAGCAGCTGATCTCTGGAGTGGAGTACATTCACTCTCAGACGCTGATCCACAGAGACCTGAAGGTGACACTAATATGACAGTGGAAGACGTGTCCCAGACCTGTATTCTGTGGAGTTACTAGAAAATAATAATTTATAGATTAAAACACTAAGGCTGTCCCATCGCTGGCTTTGTTTCGTACGGTTACTCTGCTTTGGGATGACGTCAAATGAATTGTTAACAATGAGAGAACAAAGCAAAATACTTTGATTTGAACAAGTATAATACATGTATTTTTACTTGTGCATCACTGGTGTGCAGTAGTCGTGCTTCACAGCAACAAGGGCCGCATTGCTGTGAACGCATCATCTATCTTTACCCAATTCTGTGTGCTTCTCAAATACCTAGTAAGTAAGTAAGTAAGTAATCTTTATTTATATACCGCCTTTCACAGACCAGAGTCACAAAGCGGTTTACAATTGTTATTTTTGGGCACTTGTCCTCTCACTCCACACAGAGATGGGAGTGAGGCCCAGTAGTATAGACCCCGAGTATTGCCAAAAGTATGGCCAAAACAATCAAATCTCAAATGTCATTGCTTTGTCCAAAATGGGCCAAGTAAACATGTTTCCTAATTTCATGAGTGGATCTATGGACAGGTCAAATGTGCAGTTCATTTCAAGACAGCCCTGGTGTTTGCCTCCTGTTTATATAAAGAAGAATGGACAGCTTTACCATCAGAGAGAAAACCATATAAAACTACTGGGACAAAGCTGAATATGATACTGTTACTACATCTACACAGTTACAGTTGTACATTCAATAAACACACTCATTTATCTTCTTTTTTTAGCCGGCGAACATCTTGTTTGGCCGCGATGAAAAGGTGAAGATTGGAGACTTTGGCCTGGTCACTGCGGAGAACGATGATGAAGCAAATGTAATCGAACGAACAGTTTACAAAGGCACCCCATCATATATGGCCCCTGAGCAAGTAAGTTATCCTCAATGAATATTTATACTTTACACCACACTGGAATATGTTTGTGATAATTGACAGAGAAACAGGAAAACCTATGATCGCAAAGTGGATATTTTTGCTTTGGGACTGATTTATTTCGAACTCCTTTGGAACATAGAAACAGGACACGAACGAGCACAAGTCAGTGAATAAGTGCTCAAATGTTTTATAACTGAAGGATTTTTAGAGTTTGTATTGAAATATGTTTTTATTATGTTTAGATTTGGTCTGAACTCAGGGTCCAGACACTTCCTGAGCGTTTCAGTCACTATTTTAAAAAAGAGGTAGGTCATGGTTCACTGTCCATAACAAAGAAGACAGTTTCTTCAAAATGTGCAAAAGTCTTGTTATAAAACATAATTTTTCTCAAACCAGGGACAGATAATAAAGTCCATGCTGTCGGAGCAGCCGCAGGATCGACCTGAAGCTGCAGGAGTGAAGGCTGAGCTGGAGGAATGTGCCCTGTCACTTATTCAGATAAAAGACATGCGAACAGTTTGATTAGTGAGCTTCAAAATCAACATCGACTCTTCTTTTAATGACTGGAATGATGCTCGACATGAACTGTAATGTTTTATGTGATAATGATCTCAACGTGATGTTTATTGAATGATTGTAATTGGTGTAACTAAACTTATGAATCATATGAATATGAGTGAATGTGAAATCATGTATTATTATCACATTAAAATCAACTTGTAGAAACTTTTCTTCACTTTTACTATTATCATCAAGAACTGCCTCCATTTAGTATCTTCTTCTCACTTCTGTTGTCATATTGGTTGTCAAAGCCTGTGTCATATCTCATCAACAGACACTGAGGGACTGCTGGGAATATGGTAAGCCCCAGAGAGATCATTTTGGGAAAGTTGGGGACCAGATGGCTTATGGTATTTATGATCTTCAGATTAGTTCTGCTTTAGTGTTCCCTGAAATACCCCCGTGGAAGTTGGCGTGCCCAGGAGTAGATTGGTACCTGCTGGACTTGAAGAAGGAAAAAGGGAGGGTTGATCTGGTTGCAGCTTTTGAGTACCACGTATCTCAACTCTACTCAAGTCATATTCACATCTTTACGGATGGGTCCATTACAAAGGGTCCAGAGTCCAGAATCTGGGGTTACAGGATTTGGAATAGCTGTGCCAGGAAAAGGAGTTGGTATTATTAGATGTACATCTAATGGGTTTACACAGTGGAGATGGTTGCTATATTAGTGGCCTTAAGGGGGGCAGAGCAGGCTAAAAAGAGCAGGGTTTTAATATGTTCAGCGTCTGTGCTTTCTAGTGTTCACTCTGTACAATCACAGGGTCAGGATATTTTGTATGAGATTCTAATGATAGTTACTAGAATTCGTCAGCAGGGGAACAGGGTGCAGTTTTTGTGGGTACCAGCACATTATGGCATTCAAGGTATGAAATAGTGGACAGACTGGCAAAGGGTGCACTGAATAAGACTAGGGTAGAGATGAGTGTGAAAAGAGTGTGGTGTGGAAACGAATAATTCAGGAATGGCAGAAACGTTGGGAGACAGGGACCTCCGGAAGGAATTTTTATCACATACAGAAAGAGGTAAGCGATGGCAGAAGGCAGGGGGGCATCGGAGGGAAGAAATGGTCATGACTAGGCTTAGATTGGGGCATTGTGCGCTGAATAAAACACTTTTGGGAATCAGGAGACGGGGCTCTGTGAGGGATGTGAAGAGCAGGAGGAGTTTGTAGAGCATGTGCTGTTGCATTGCAGGGGATATAGTGAGTGCAGGGAGGTAATGAAGCAGAGGCTTAAGGAATTTAATTTAAAGAGTGTATTGGAGGGAGTGTGCAAGTGAGGGCATTAGTGTCGTTGAAGAAGAAAAAGTCATATCTCTGGATGCGAGACCTGTAGTCCATCAAGCTCATATATCCTACATTCCATTTCGAAAACGCAGGCGACTTATGTGGCGAACGCAGCCCAAAACATTATTATTTGACATTTAGATTGAGACATTGTTGATGTAAGTCTGACAACGGTATGAATTATATTGATTTGATGTTCCATTTCCAAAGATCTACAGTCGACGAGGGCAAAGATTCTCGAAACATCTTGCTGCAGGATGCGTCATAAACATAGACTGTATTGTCAGAAGTGCTGCCGTGTCTCCCTGTGTCACTTTCTGTTTCAGTTCCGCCACAGTGAAAGTGTATCCAACGGAGCCTACGTTTAACGCTTTAAATAAGTCTCACCACAGCTGTGAGATGGATGGAAGTCAGTACGTGAGTAAACTCAATGAGATAAGTCAGAAAAGGAACATGAACCCTCCAGAGTACAAGGACCTCGGATCCAGCGGACCTGATCATATGAAAATGTAAGTGTCAACCATAAGACGTACAATATAAATACATCAATGACATGTCTTAAGATGCAGCTAATGACAATGCAGGTGTGCGTTATTACTGTGGCATAATGTGTATGGATTAATGTGACGTTTGATCAGTTTAGCCTAGCATTAGTCTAGCATAAGTGACCATACTAACCCATGTACTAACCGCGCTAAATTATTATAGATCCATGGGTAAAGAGGCCCGGCTTTTCGTCGTCCGCGGTAAAGTGGTCCTCATATTAAAAGCGGGTGGCCTCTTTACTATAATAGATCCATGGCTATTACTTCCTGTAATGCTTTTTATGTCCGGACCACTTTACCGCGGACGGGGAAAGCCGGGCCACTTGGGCCCAGTCCCAATACCCACACTGCACCCTACGCCCTCCTATGAAGTGTGCATTTGTTTGAAGTGCGCGCAAGGGTTTGAGTGCGCAGGTTGCAAACGTGCTCAAAAGGCGGAATTGGGACAGTGCACGCTGAGTGCAGGTTACGTCATCGACTCGTCCAGAGATGGTCATTTTCAGACCTAAACTTTATAAAAATTAAAGGTAATTTTGTCTGACCCTTTGGGAAACAAATTGAATTGCTTCACACACGTTAAAATACATGTATATTAGTGGTTTTTAATTAGAGATAGCTGTATAATTTTAAGTTAAATGTGGGTAACTAACTATCTGGTCAGTTTTTATACATTCTAAGATTATTGTACTAAGTGTAAAGTTTAAATTGAATGTTAAAAAGTTATTAAATTGTTAAAACACAATGTCCGTAATTCTTCATCAGACGTTTATGCTTCTTTCCAAGTAACATAGCAAAACTTATTTACACACATACTGCATATATATTTCAAAATGTATATTTAAATGCATTTTCCCGACGTTTTGGTGTGTACCGCAAAGAATTATGGGCAATATCCTTCGCCAGAGTGCGCATAGATGCAGGCTACGGCGAAGTGTGGATCAGGGGCGCAAAGGGGGCGGGGCCAAAGACCTCCCTGGAAAATTGGGACACCCTACGCACTCGCACACTTTATCGGGAACGCGCAAATGAGGGGCGCGAGGGTGGAAGTGCAAGTATTGGGACGGGGCCACACCAAGCCCCGGCGATCCAAGATGGCGCCCTATTCAAATGAATGGTTGTGCTCAGTGGCGCTTTGTGACGGCACGGGGGCTGAAAGATTAGCGGAAGTCGCCTGAAACTCGCAAAGATCTATGGGAAACTCGCCTGTATTTGGGCATCGTCTGGTCCTCCCGGTTCTGCGCAGTGGATGATCTCCCATAATGCGTTGCGCCAAACACGCGTGTGTGGGTCTCACACCAGGTCTCACGCACGTGCACAGAGGGGCTCGGCCGAGCTCTGACCAATCAGAGCAGTTCATCAGAGCGGGAGTTAGAGCGAGAGCCAGAGGAGTAGAGTTTGTGGCACTAAAGTGTGGATTTAAACAAAACCGACGGATTTAAGAAGAAAAATAGTTCAGGATGACAAGGGACACTAAAATCCCCACAAAATCCGATCTTTATTAAAGCTGTAGGTTCTCTGTCAGCTGAGGTTGAGCTGTTTTAATATGCATTGAGTTCTATGGGGAAAATTTCTGGGTAGCCCACGTGAATTTGGTCTGGTTCAGTCTGCAGTACCGCGAGAATCCCCTGAGCACGTGAGTTATTCAGCTACAAGCTAGTAATACCCTATCCAGTTAATATAATACATCCATGGGCCACAGACGCGTGTTTGGCGCAACGCATTATGGGAGATCATCCACTGCGCAGAACCGGGAGGACCAGACGATGCCCAAATACAGGCGAGTTTCCCATAGATCTTTGCGAGTTTCATGCGACTTCCGCTAATCTTTCAGCCCCCATGCCGTCACAAAGCGCCACTGAGCGCAACCATTCATTTGAATAGGGCGCCATCTTGGATCGCCGGGGCTTGGGTATGGCCCCGTCCCAATACTCGCACTTCCACCCTCGCGCCCCTCATTTGCGCGTTCCCGATAAAGGGTGCGAGTCCGTAGAGTGTCTCCAGGGAGGTCTTTGGCCCCGCCCCGTTTGCGCCCCTGATCCACACTTCGCCGTAGCCTGCATCTATCAAGCCCCGGCGATTCAAGATGGCGCCCTATTCAAATGAATGGTTGTGCTCAGTGGCGCTTTGTGACGGCATGGGGGCTGAAAGATTAGCGGAAGTTGCCTGAAACTCGCAAAGAACTTTGGGAAACTCGCAAAGATCTATGGGAAACTCGCCTGTATTTGGGCATCGTCTGGTCCTCCCGGTTCTGCGCAGTGGATGATCTCCCATAATGCGTTGCGTCAAACACGCGTGTGCGGGTCTCACACCAGGTCTCACGCACGTGCACAGAGGGGCTCGGCCGCGCTCTGACCAATCAGAGCAGTTCATCAGAGCGGGAGTTAGAGCGAGAGCCAGAGGAGTAGAGTTTGTGGCACTAAAGTGTGGATTTAAACAAAACCGAAGGATTTAAGAAGAAAAAAAGTTCAGGATGACAAGGGACACTAAAATCCCCACAAAATCCTATCTTTATTAAAGCTGTAGGTTCTCTGTCAGCTGAGGTTGAGCTGTTTTAATATGCATTGAGTTCTATGGGGAAAATTTCTGGGTAGCCCACGTGAATTTAGTCTGGTTCAGTCTGCAGTACCGCGAGAATCCCCTGAGCACATGAGTTATTCAGCTACAAGCTAGTAATACCCTATCCAGTTAATATAATACATCCATGGCATCTATGCGCACTCTGGCGAAGGATATTGCCCATAATTCTTTGCAGTACACACCAAAACGTCGGGAAAATGCATTTAAATATACATTTTGAAATATATATGCAGAATGTGTGTAAATAAGTTTTGCTATGTTAATTGGAAAGAAGCAAAAACGTCTGATGAAGAATTACGGACATTGTGTTTTAACAATTTAATAACTTTTTAAAGCAAGCGTTTATATAACATTCAATTTAAACTTTACACTTAGTGCAATAATTTTAGAATGTATAAAAACTGACCAGATAGTTAGTTACCCACATTTAACTTAAAATTATACAGCTATCTCTAATTAAAAACAACTAATATACATGTATTTTAACGTGTGTGAAGCAATTCATTTTTATAATTCCGCCTTTTTTGCACACTTGTAACCTGCGCACTCCAACCCTGGTGTGCACTTCGAACAAACGCACACTTCGTAGAGGTGTGTAGGGTGCAGTGTGGGTATTGGGACTGGGCCTTCGTTTGCTGGTACTGGTAGGCAGCCATTTGTCATTTGAGTAAAAATAGTGACTGCCCATTTAATATGGAATGAAGTGGTGTTATGATTGATAAGCACTAGACGCAACTTAAATAATAATCATTATTTTTCAACAGCTTCAAGCAGCAAGTATTTTTCAATGGTAAACTATATCCTGTGGCTGAAGGAAACACAAAAAAAAGAGCCAAACATAATGCAGCTAAAAATGCATATGAAGTCTTGAGGAGAGAACAGCAGGAACCAGCAGCTGCTGCCTCTACGTCTGCAGAGGTGAATTTAGAGAAATAACTTGGTCAAACTTTGTCAGTCCTAACATTTCTGCAGGTGTGGAGTTTTTTATTTTACAGTTTTATACCTTAACCTTACTTTATTTCCATAAGTCGGAAACCCCATGGATAAACAGTCTTTTGATTGGTCAAATGCTTTTTGCTCATAATAAGCTACTTTATGTATTAGTATATAGACAATGTTCTGGATTTTGAATTATATTTACATTTTATGTTTAGCTTTTAGACCAAGATCTGAATCATGTATCAAATGGAACGGGGGATTTCAACAAACTTTGGTGAGGAGTGTATGATAAACATAGTAACTATCATGTTTTTCTTAATCTTACATTTTTATACATGTTTCTAGTGAGAAAAGAAGTGAACTCAATGCAAGCCTTCCAAAAAGCACCACACACATCACAGACTATATGTCAAAAGTTAACTTGTACTGTCAGAAAACAAGGCGCGAATGGAGCCTCATTGAAGAGACCCCCGGCGCCCAGTCTCAAATGCCGTAAGTCAGGAACTATTTTATGCACCTTTATAACTGACATGTATTTTAACTTTATATAGTTTCTAAAATCCTTCATCAGATTTGCTTTTAGAATGAAGATTGATCAAGTGTATTATCCAATGGGAACAGGGAGGAACAAACCAGAGGCTAAACAAAAGGCTGCTCAGATGGCCTGGTCTGCCCTACAGCCACAGATGAATGCGCACAGTGAGGTATGAAAGCAAAACATATGATAAGAGTTCTTTTATTCTTTATTTTGTGGGGAAATTTCGATGTTGCAGTGCACATACAGGACAGTAGTAAGAGCACACAGGGAGCACACAAAATATACAAAATACAAAACTAGTAGTAGCTATGTTTCTTAACTAGATGTAGATGCTGTAAATGTTTCAATAGCAGTCAACAACAAAAAAAAAAAATATATATATATATCTTGCAGTGTAGAGTTATGTACTGTACATATCAGTATACAATGCAGGATAATAAGTAGATCAAGTAAAGTGACATTGTTCAGTGGACCTTCTGAAGTTGCAGTATAGCACATTGCACATGATTTAAGTATTTAATTATTTACAGATAAATGAAATTTACAGGCTCAGCCGTTTCCATTGTACAGTCTGACAGCAGCAGTCAGGAAAGACCTACGGAACCTCTCTTTCACACAGCGAGGGTGAATTAGTCTGTCACTGAAACTGCTCTCAAGAGCAGAGAGAGTGTCCTGCAGGGGGTGACAGTCATGGTCCAGCATAGATTTTAGTTTGTTAGACATAATAGACATATTTACATTTTTGGAATTACAATGTTTTTTTTACTGTGACAATGTGTCGTGTTCATGATGGTTTTATCGTCTAATGTAGCTCTACAGAGTGTGTAGAACAAGCGAGAAGGTAGGCTGCCCTCAAAATTAGTTATGTATGTGAAAAATTCTCATCATTCTAAAGAGATGCAGGAACAACTTACAGGGTCCGGGCCTTTTGCTGAGGGCCGTCTACTCCCCATGCAACCCAGCAACAGATTAAGTGCAGAAAATGAATCAATGGACGTTTACATTTTAAAAAATTTAATAAAAATTTATATATAACTATTGACTGTAGAAGGTGCGGATTACTTCAGGGTTCTGCCTTCACTTCTTGAATAAAATAAAACAAAATAATATAAAGTGTGTAATTTTAGGCGTCAGTGAGATCAACCGAATCTTGGGATGATCAATCCAGAAAAACCTCAACGTCATCTACTGCATCAAACTGCCAGTAAGTCATAGTCAAAGAAACAAATCAATAGACTTAAACAGACCGGCAGCTGCAGTGATCTGAATACTGTTCCAGGGAGTTATCTGATGACGTCGCACAGCCAAACAGTGGAAGCAGCTGGATAAAATTTGAAGACTCTTCCTCTGTACCACACTGCTCCAGTGCTCAGGTATGATGCAGACTGAAAACGCATGTATTTGATTCTACTTTTGAATGATTATACTTCTTTCTTAAGAGTACCTTCATGGAAAAAAGTACAAAGAATGAAGTAACTACAAAGACATCAAGGTGTGTTCTTTTGATTAAGGAAATGAAGACAGGCCGTAGTTATGCTTCAATTTTCTCAACAGGTTTACTTCGGAGTATGATAATATTGAGCCTCTAAAAAATGGATCATATGGTCAGGTTTATAAAGCAAGAAAAATTGAAATGGAAACATATTGTGCAATCAAAGAAATAAAGATATCTAACAAACTGCCTGAAGAGAAAGAGTAAGTGTTTTTTTAAAGACAGTATAATATAAATATCCTCTATGATTTCTAAGCTCTTGCTTTGTTTTAGGAAATCCCTTCTGGAGGTGAAAGCCCTTTACACCTTGCTCCATGAGAATATAGTGAGATATTACACGTCTTGGTTTCAGGACACAGGATACAGGTAGATATGACCAATTCAATCTGGAGAGACTACAAGACACAAGATGTATTAAAAGTAGGGCTGTGAGACGATTACATTTTTTTGGTTGATTAATCGCTTAGTAATAGTGAGTTAACTCACGATTAATCGCATTTTTAACATTCTATTTCAAATCCACTCCAATTGAAGTTAAATGAGATTATCAAATGTAATGACACATTGTCATTCATACCAAATGTGTTTGATTCACAACCTTTTATTTTTGGGCACAACCAAAATGAGCTGTTAATGAAAAGGGAAAATGTACGTACCCGAGCTTTAATTTAGCGAGTTTAGTGTAGTTTAGTTTCAGGAGAAGACACGGACACTTCCGCTGTGTATTTTCGTACACAGGTTACACACAGCTTTCAAAGACACGCAAACAACAAGCAGTGAATAGTCCGTTGTGTGTATGGTCTTGTATGACCATGTTACCGCAGATCCATTCGCTGTGTTGTTGTTGTTAGCGGCTCACAGCTCACAGGGTCATTCGGACATGCGTAATTTTTATTTAACGCGTAAATGAAAAATGTAATTATCGTGAGTTAACGCGATAATTTTGACAGCCCTAATTAAAAGATTTATTGATTGCAAGTTAGTTTGTCGTTTATTATTTTCGTGCACAGGCTGTGGCCTAGCTCTGTCAGGATTGATGCTTGAGTGCAGACAGGGTCTAGTCCCCTGGGGCCTAGACACTGGTGGTGGCCACAGGGCAAGGTGGATGTGAGCGTACGATGAAATCCTGAGGAGTTGGGGAGGAGGTGTTTGCAGCTTGAAAGGCTGTTTGGTTTGCGGTGTCCAACGTTTTAGCGCTGGCTTGATTAGCATGGCTGCAGGGAGTTGATGAAGCTGATAGACTGCAGTGCGATGACGTGCGGGTAGTCTACCAGTTTGAACTTCTGCTTATAGTGCATATGTATGCTGTACAATTTTATTAAATGACAGATTCTTTTGTTTTTAGTTGTCAAGTGGTGAAGCCAAATGTACAATATCTCTTCATTGAAATGGAATTGTGTGATGTTGGAACGCTCAGGAGCTGGATACATAATAAAAACACCCACCCTAAGGAAAGCTCACGGCAGCAGGAGAGTCTGAAGTTCGCTGGACAGATTTTAAATGCTGTTGAGTATATTCACAACAAGAACTTCATCCACAGAGACCTTAAGGTAAAAAACATGCATTATTTGTTATTGTTTTTGTGATTAACTTTTTACTTGTTTTAATCATAGCCGGAAAATATCTTGTTTGGTGGTGATGGAAAAGTGAGGATTGGGGATTTTGGATTGGTCACTAGCGACAGCACTGACGGTGAGGTAGTGGAGAGGACAGAGGCTAGAGGAACAAATAGCTACATGGCCCCTGAACAAGTGAGGAAATATAACCGCCTTGTGTGAAGTGATAAAATTGCTCAGGGATTAAGATTTTGTGTTTTTTTCTTTTTCTTTTACAGTTTGGTACAAAATATGACCGCAAAGTGGACATTTTTGCATTGGGATTGATCTTTTTTGAGCTCTTCTTGAGAATATCCACTTATCATGAACTTCGGGAGGTATGTGGTTCACAAAGCACTTTTTTCATCATTTATTATTACATTTAGTCTCTGTCATGGCTCTGTACCCTCTGTTTTGTGCAGATCTGGAAGGATGTCAGGAATCAGGTCTTTCCAAAAGATTTTACAGAGATTTATGCAGTGGAGGTACGGAATATATACCATTATGGTTGTTGGCGTTGTCATGGACCGAAATGTGACTACTGTTTTCCAAGAGTAATTTTCTCGGGTAAAACAGTAACTTTGAAAAGGTGCAAAGCAGGATCAGAGTTCCCATTGAAGACCCCTTTCGACTAATTGATCCACACAGCACATGACAATAGTAGATCAAGCATTTTCTTTGGTCAATTACAGCCATAAATAAATACCGGTCAATACAGAATAAATATAATAACGCTAAAACTATATGCTGTTTTGTCTGTATGCTGGTATCTTCATTTTCATATAGAGAGATTGATAAATATAATTCTGCCTTTCTTATCATTCTCATTCACTTCTTTTAACCTTTGTCATTTCCAGAGCCGCATTATTAAAACTATGCTGAGTAAGAAGCCTGAAGACAGACCTGAAGCCAGCGCACTCAAATCTGAATTAGAGAAATGGACTCAAAAGGAAGAAATCCAATTAAGAACCATCTAATACTTAGTTTTTACCTTTTACATGATTTAATGCTATTTTTTCGTAATTAAATAATGTAATATGAAAATGACTTGTTCCACTGCCTTATATTCATTATCTGTATTTTTAACATTTTTAACTGAGAAATCATGTGCTATGCCAATATTGAGTGCACACTCACTTTTTTACTGTCACTTTTTTAAGGATAAATTCCTTGGTAAAATGGTAAATGTGTGGACATTTATTTCATATTGAGGAGTTTATGGAATCATGCAAACCCTGTGATAAAATACTACTGCAGCCTGAGTTGTCCTGGGGCACTCTGACAGAAGGTAGGCAACCAGAATGTGCTACCAGCCCCTCTGATCACCACCAGCCATACACACACACACGCACACGCACACACACCAGACTCAAGCAATGTGGGTGAAGAGTAAGGACACAACAACAGTTTGGCACTTTCAGTGTGACCACGGTATATTGTTGAAGTCTGTTCAGTGATCAGTAGAGGGAGCTGTGACTCTTCTCATTTGCCTCTGTCTCCCAAAGTTTCAGATCTATGTATAATTTCACTTGACATATAAACCACATGGACAATGCAGTTATGTTCATGTATACTCTCTATACTGAATATCTCAATCAATCAATCAATCAAATTTTATTTATAAAGCGCTTTTCATACAAAAGATGCAACACAAAGTGCTTTAGTAAAACAGTAAAACAATGATGAGAGACTTGGCAGGGTTCAGATGCAACCAGCTGAAAAAGCGTCATCCAAGGAGCCGTCTGCACCAGGAGCAGAGAGCCGCCTGTAGCCACAGGGGACGACACAGGATCTAGAGGAGACCCGAAACCGAGGCCCCAGGCCCCCACCAGGTCCAAGAGTCCGACCCCCACAGCCATGCCGACCACCGCTCCCAGTGCAGAGGGCTCCTCCAGAGGAAACACTGAGTATACTAAAAACAATACAATAACAATACAATAAGTAAAACACAAAAATGTGAAACTAAAATGAACTAACACACAATACATGAATAAAAGCAATAGCAATACAATAAATAATAGAAGATAAATAGAATATATAAAATGAAATAGTAAAAACTAATCAAAAGCTAATCTAAAAAGGTGCGTCTGCAGCATTATATTGTTTCATTAAAAATCAATTAATAAACCTTTGTTAATAGACCCCTTACCAAAGTGCTGTGTCTAAATCTATGTCTTAATAAAGGTATTAATAGTTTTTTACATGTATCTATTACAATATCTAAATTAATGTATTCATTGTTGTTAGCCATGCTTCTAATATAATAAATCCTTTGTGGTAGATAATATTTTATTCATACATCTTTACTTTATGCCACCTCAGCTAAACCATGATTTCCAAAGCATTTGTTTTGATTCTTCCATATGAGAAACAGGTCTGCTTTTCTGATCTTGTGTTTGACTGTAGTGAGCTTTGGATTTTAACAATTTACCTTCTGTTGGAATCAATGTTATTGTTAATGCTGTGGCGCCACCTACATGTGAAAGAGTTTACTGTAATAGTTTATTCCAGGGGTGCTCACACTTTTTCAGCATGCGAGCTACTTATAAAAGGATCAAGTCAAAATGATCTACCTACTACAAAAATGCAAATCATATATTTATTTCAAAAAATATTCTTTATACCTACAATATATGTTTATGTACATGCAAAACCGCATGAGCCAATATAGCACAACACAACACAATTATCTATGTACATTTTTTGTCATTACCCGAGTTTACTCTTATGACTTGCACTGAATTGAATCGGCCAGGGATGCATAGTCCGGAAAATTGGTGGTAACTCGCTGACAAGTTTGTCGTGGTTTAGCTTTCCTGCACTGAGCGCGGTTGTTTGCGCATGTGCAGTCACCTAAGTGTCAGTAAAACATTACTGAGGAAAACACAGATGTCATTTGACTGTGGTGCCATGTCCATGTGCCATGCCTGTTTTTTTTAATCCAAATATTTCCCCTCCTCAGTTTATAAAATAATTTGCATCCACACATCTGCGTTATCAGTCACATTTGTAACATTCCAAACATGTGCGTCTCTTACGTCCTGTCCTGCGTTGGGGAAAAACACAGAAGTGGGCGGAGCTTTGATGCAGACGCCGGTAACGGCACTTTTACAGTCATAGAAGACACTCAGAGTAAAGACGTATGTTTACAAGCACTGACCCCGTCCTCAGCCCTGGTTTAGTCCTGGTTTAGTCCTGGTTTAGTCCTGGATTAGTCCTGGTTTAGTTGTTTTCGAGCGTGAGTCCCCGCGATCACTTTGCTGCTCTCTGATGTGGAGGATGTTCGCTGCTGCGAGCATCTCACAGCGAACAGTTTTTAAGGTAGTATGATCCATGCTTCAGTGATCAGAGGAATTTAGGGGGGTACTGTGGCGTGCGAGAACGCAAAACTCCGATTATCTCTGTCTACACACAAATGCATTAACGGAGTTTTCAAAAATCTCCACTTTGCCCGGAGTTTTTTGTATATATTAGTTTAGAATGTGTAATTTTTTATTTATTTAATGCGATCTACCAATACTACCTTTGCGATCGACTGGTAGATCGCGATCGACGTATTGAGCACCCCTGGTTTATTCCAATGAGACAGACCCTGATCGCGTTAGACCTTTGAGGCTAAGTAGGGCATGGCCTGGTTAGTACTGTGATGGGAGACCACAGTGTGGCAGCTGCGGCTCGACCCCACCTTAATGTCTCTCTTTTGTTGCATCTTTGAACATAATCGCAGATCAGGTACATTCTGCTGACAACAACAAACATTTCAATGACATTCTATTTATTATATTGATTATTCCTATTTGTTTTGAGTGCAACTTTTGCATATAACTAGTTATAACTCTTATAAGGCAATGCAAGTTTCTTGGTATAGCACAATTGCAAGGAAACTCAAAGTGCTGAACAAAATAAGATAGCATTAAAATAACTCAAGTATTGTCTGTTATGTTCTTACAGCAGTTCAGTTTACACTTCCCTTACATTGCCTTTTACAAAATGAAGTCAGCTATAAGAAAGTTGTTTTGTGTCCAGTCTTGTGCAGCTGCCGCGCTTGTGTGAAGCGGGTTATTGGATTGAGGTCAGTCCCGCTGAGAGCCGTGTGGGCAGTAGAGCAGAGCCGACTATGGTCTGGACCAAGGGTCTACGGTAAGGCTATCACCAGTCCCCAAAGGTGAAAGTCAAAATTACTTTGGCTATCAACCAATTTAGAAGACATTCAATTTCAAACTAAACACAAGGAAACAAAATGAAGTAAAAACCCAAATATGCATTAAATCAAGTTAGGGAAGCTGGAATTGGAATTGAATAACACTTTTAGTCTGTAAACGATTCTTTGGATATTCAACTATTTAATATTAATTTTTGAAATTGGTCTTGTTTTTGGGTATTAACACGTGCAGTGTATTAATTGAGTCTGAGGGAGGGAGAGTACATTCGTCTCTGACAGCGTGCCAACTCTGCTGGAGGAGGATGTTTTCTGTCTCTGCTGCTGCTGTGAAGGTCAAGGGCACAATGGCAGACGAAGACTCTAAATCTTTAACAAGTGTCTACAAGTATAGTTCAACAGTCCACTCCAGTTCCTCAAGTGTAGCTAAAGTAATATTCACAATAATATTGCGGTGTAGAAAGTATATTTCTTTAAAAAATAATGTCTCATATGGCTTTCCCTCTCATTGGGAAAACCATAAGACTATACCATGTGATGTACTGACATTTTCTCAGTCCATGCAAACCATGTTTTATTAAAGGCAAATGCCACTGTTGCGATCTTCTTTGTTCAAATAAACAATACTAATCAGTATTTTTTGTTATTACACCAAATAATTCATTCAATGTGATGACTAGGTTTTTGTGTATTTCTTGCCATTGTTTGTAAGTGACGATCAATAATAAACTAAACAGTGGTGCGTACCTGTAACCGACCTGTCTCATAGTTGTGTGTTGTGTTGTGTTGGCTGTGAAAACAGTTCAAATCAGATCTGTAGTGAGGCTCACTGTAGTGACATATATTTTTCAAATGTTGCAATCATTTATATAAAACAAGGCAAGGCAAGGCAAGTTTATTTGTATAGCACAATTCATACACAAGGCAACTCAAAGTGCTGAACAAGATAGCATTAAAATCATAAATAATCACAGTACATTAAAAAGAAAAAAAATATAAAATCCCTCAGTTGTATGCACAGCTAAACAGAACCGTTTTTAACCTGGTTTTAAACATTGTCAGAGAGGAGGCCTGTCTCACATCTTCAGGAAGATTGTTCCAGATTTTAGCAGCATGAATCTGAAAAGCAGCCTCCCCATGTTTAGTTCTGACTCTGGGCACTAACACATTAAAACTAAGAGTAATAAAACATTACTCTTTTCATAGCAATCAAGTGTCAGTGACATAAAGTTGAAAGGTGTGGGGGAGCATAGATGGTAAAGTGAAACATGTTCACACACTTACAAACAATGAAATCATATTTAGCTAAACATACAGTACATTTTAAGAATTTCAAGCATCCATTTAACCTTAAAATCCTGTCTCATATTTCTTAGCTGCCCTGTCCAAACAGAAAGCAATGTAAAAATGAGAAATTCGCTACTTTTGAAACAATAAGCAATTTCCCATGTCAAATCTAAATGTCTTGTCGTCTCAACTGCCATAATAAGAGTCAAACTCACAACTCCTCTATAGCTGGTCCTTTCTCTCCTTTGACAGCTTTCGTCAGGCCCAGCTGCTGCTCCAGTTTCCCGCCACGAAAGAGGGCGTGAAGTGATGCAAGCGTGATGTAAGCCTGCATTTTCAAACAGCACACGTGGATGGAGAGGAGTCAGGTGCCAACAATGTGCCATCTTTGAACGCCAAGCTGAGCATAAAAACCTATCCAGGTGTCACACAGGGCTCTGGCAGGTTTCCTCTCTGCTACCACCGACACTAATGTGGCTAGACAGATCCTTTTAGCACGCCCCCGCAGATCTGTCACAAATATACCAGCCA